CAGCCGGAAGGAAAGGGTCCCGTGCTGCCGCCCTGCCCACTCGGCGATGACCGGCTGGAGAGCCTCCACGGCGGCGAAGCCAGCGCGTGGAGTCTCCAGCCGGAACGACCTACGAGCCATCGTGGCTCGGCGAGCGGCTTCGCGCCACTCGCGCACATCCTCGGGCGGAGGGCGAAATCCGCTCTCCGCCCGGGAGTCAGCCACTCGCCGATAAACTTCGGCGAGCACTTCCGCCTCCAAATCCCACGGGGGAGTTCCGGCCAACGCGCATGCCACCTCCGTAGAAACGGTGCGGTAACCGCGTATGGCTCTGACCGCCATTACCCTCTGAGGGCGCCAGAGGCGTACCCTATTCTGGGCGGTCAGAGCCGCCGCCCACACCGGTGCACCGTACAGCGCCATTGACCGGACAACCCCCGTGTACAGCCGTCTTGTCGCGACGCTGGGTCCACCCATATTGGGCAAGAGTCGCCCTAGGGCAGACGCAGCGCCGACCAGCTTTGGAGCAAGCTGTCGGAAGTGCTCGTCGAAGAGCCACCTCCCGTCGAGGATCAGGCCCAGATATTTCATCTGGGCCCGAACCGGTACGAGGACCGAGTTGACCACGATTGAGGCGCCAGGGGGTGGACCACGACGGGGCCCATGAAATAACAGGGCCTCCGTCTTATCTAGGGCCACCCGTAAGCCCAGCGCCTCAATGCGCCCGACCACCAGGGAGACTCCCCCTGTGGCCAGGCGCGCCGCCTCTTGGAAGTTTGCCCCCCGGGCTGTCACCAGTGTATCGTCTGCGTAACAGATTACACCCAGCCCGGGGGGGAAATCGGCGCGAAGGGCCCAGTCGTACCCTATGTTCCACAAGAGGGGTCCAAGAACAGACCCCTGTAGAACACCGCACGACATGGGCCGACACCTCAAATTACCTTCTCGGTCCTCGTACACGACGGTACGCTCCTCTAAATAGTCTGCCACTAGCCGCCTCAGGTACTTTGGCACCCCATGATAGTGGAGTGCTTCCCTGATGCAGCTGAATGGCAGACTATTGAATGCGTTGGCGATGTCTAATGACACCGCCAACAGCACGCCGCCACAGCTCACGGCCTCTTCGGTCACGGCCCTCAGGCGCAACACGGCGTCGACTGTCGAACGCCCCGCCCGAAAACCAAATTGGGCGTCCGACAGATCGGGGCCCACCTCGCAGCGGTGCCGGACGATGCGGGCAGAAAGAACCCTCTCAAACAATTTGCCCGCCTCGTCCAGCAGCACGATGGGCCTATAGGCCGCGACCGAATCGGCAGGCCGTCCCGGCTTCCTCAATAGGACCAGCTTTCCGCTCTTCCAGCACTCAGGGAAGCGTCCCGACGCCAAGCTAGCGTCGAACACCTCCCCGAGGCGGTCTGCCAAGTGGTTGAGGGCCAGGGCCAGCACTCGGGCCGGTACCCCGTCTGGCCCAGGGGCGGTGTTCTTGGAACGGATCCGTAGAACAGCCGCCCCTACCTCCGAATCCCGGACGGGCGGAACATTTTCCTCCCCGTGCTCCCCGTCGTCTCCGGCCAGGGAGGCCATCGACGGGGGAGTGTGTTCCGCTCGTTGTGGGAAAAGGCCCTCAACCACTTCTCGCAGGAAGCTGGGCTGGAGAGTCTCCGTAAGGGGGGGGCCCGACGCGCGGAGCTTTTGTCGCACCGCGCGGTAAGGGCGACTGGGCCAGCATCTCCTGTCTCTTTTCCTCTTTGGCGCGGCTAATGGCCAGCTTCAGAGTTTTCCGCGCCCGTCGGTACCCCTCATGAAGCCGGTCCTCCTCACCGTCTCCACGGTGACGCCGCCGACTGCGTGTGTAGGACCTCCGGGCACGTGTACAGGCCGCACGGAGGTCCGCCAGCTCCTGGGACGGCGGTCGGAGGAAAAAGGAAAAAGTCGGAGCGGCGGCCTTAGGCCGCTGAGCCGACGCGAGCGGGGGGCGCATAATCGGCGCAGGGGGCAGTCTCGCCTCCAGGCCAGCCAGGCGTCCGTCCAGCATATTCCCAACTGCGATGAGGATTTCTCGCAGTTGGGAGTCAAATGCCCCTGAGTTGGTGGTAGGGGCAGGCTGGGACGCGGACGGGGCTTCCCGCTCGGGGAGGTCCGCCTGGAAGCGGGCGAACTGAGCACTCAGCTCGTTCACCCGCTCCGTCAGCCTCTCGTTGGCCACCTGTAGGCGCGAAACGTCGCCCACTAGGCCCTCCACGACCTCCGACAAGGCGGAGGAGGAGTCCTTAAGGGCCCTCACAAACGAGCCCTTAAGGTTCACGGATTCGGTGGCCACCTTGTGAATGACGGCCACCGCCGCTTTCGCCCTCTCCTGCACGGACACGGGAGCTTGGGGGGCATTTCCCCCCACCGGCTCCCGAACCTTGAGCAGGAGATCCGCGATCTCCTCCTCCGCTACGGCCTCGCCGTCCACCCGTACACTTCTGTAGGACTCCGCGTTTGAGAACGCGGAGCCTGACGGTGTCGAGACCGGGGCCGTTTTGCGTGCCCTCCCTCGGCGGCTGCTTGCCACCTTGGGTGGCATCATCTCCTGGGACGTGTCGGTTTCCACGTCCCCTGAGCGTTCGCGTTTTCGGCTGTCGCTGCGATGTTTCGCTTCCATGGCCTCCGCACCATCCGACGAAGCGGCGGATCCGGAACGCAGCCGATCTGATGCTCTTCGGCTCCCAGAGACCAGCGTCAGACTGACTTCTGGGAGCCCCACCGAGATAGGCGTTCCCGACGCCATCTCACCCTCCGTGGATGACCCATCCACTCCACTGTTCCTCCTCTTCGTCTCCTTGTCCGTTAGGCTTGCCTTTTTCTGTTGTGTGTTTTTTCCGATCGTTTTTTTGTTTTGGTTAGACTTTATGTTTTCCATGATAAATCCCACGAGTGGGGGAGAACTAAAGGTCCACCCGGGCAGAGATCCCCCATTACCCGGGCAAGCGTAAGTTTTTAACCCAACCGAGGGGTCCGCAGGTACCTCGGCTTGGAGTGCGCTCGAGACTGAACTTCCCATCAGCCATGCATCCCCTGGCCACGCACCAGAACACGGGATTCGGGGAATTTTTTAGAGAGGTTATCTTCCTCGCGGTCCGGGCGGTTAAGCCAAGACCCTCGCCCCCGATCAGAGCCGCGAGACTTAACCACAGCGCTCTTCTCGGGATTACGATATGCCGACGGTTGACAGGGAGACTACGTCCCACTGCCTGCTCGGTGGTAGTGTGAGTACACGCCGAGCCCGTCCTCCTTTCTCCACCGCTGTCAGCGGAGAAACTGTGGCCCCTACAGGGCCCCGCCATCAGGTTTTTTACCGAGGTTTCCTCCTCCGTGCTCCGAAGAGCGAAGAGCCAGCAGGGCAACCGGCAGACACGCCCACCCTGCTGGACCAGGCCTTGCCCGAGAGCCGATGAACGGCTACCTCTTCTGCTAGAATATTAGCCGCTGGCGATAATCCTCTCCTCCAAGAGGACAAGGAGGAAACAGTACCATCGCCAGCGTTTCCAGGGTGCACCACGAGGAGGTTTTCTAGCCAGCACCCCAAACCCTATATGAACCCGTCTGGCCAGCGTGGTATACTAGGCCAAAACCTCCTTTCTAAAGAGAGGCCTATGTTCAGCAGTGGACTATTAAAGGCTGTTGATGATGATGATGATTTAAATGTTTCTTAGCTCAGAACTCCGTCATTAGTGAACTGACACACATCTTACACAAGAAAAGTAATGGTATGATTAGCACGATCATTTATTCTATGGGCTAGTGCGTCTTTTATTAAATTTTCCATTTTTTTATGTTTTCCTTCACTGTCTTTTTTATTCCATCTTTTTTTTTCTTCATTGCCTTTTTACCTTTTAGTCCTTAAAACTTACATACTGGCACACATCAAAACAATGTTGTGTATATTTAATGATGCCATTGTTATCTGTTGATTGAAAAGAGTGGCCGTGAGTTTGTTTGCCCTTTCTTCTCATGAGGCTCAACCCCTTGGAAATGGGCGGTTGTAGAGACAGGCATATAGGAGATTTCCTATACGTATATATTTAGTTAGCTAAATATTTGACAAAACAGAGATTGTTGCTATTGTATGCGTTGATCTATGACTTTAAAGTCTACATAAAAGACGATGTCAAACATTTTTTTAAATAAAATAAAGATATTTGCGTTTGAGGTTATGTCTGAGTGTAATTTACCTATCATATGTATGCATTTAAAAATACATAAGTATATTTATCAGGTCTGGTTACCATAGTACATACTATGCCTATTTCTTTTTTTTTTACATTCACACAACGCCATCTAGTCTCAAACTAAGCAGAGCTTGTACTATGGGTACTAGACAACTGATATAAATACATATATATATTATACATAGTAACACCCAGACCAAATCAAACATTACATGTTCATGCACACAAAGGTCGAATTTTGACCAGAGTTCATTTAATTTTTACACATTCATCTATACTAATATTATAAAGCTGAAGAGTTTATTTGTTTGTTTGAACGCGCTAATCTCAGGAACTACTGGTCCGATTTGAAAAATTCTTTCAGTGTAGCCCATTTATCTAGGAAGGCTATAGGCTATATATCATCACGCTAAGACCAATAGGATCGGAGCACCAATGAAGAATGTTTCAAAAACGGAGAAAATTTATTACTATTGAGAGACGCAGACGAAGTTGCGCGGGTCAGCTAGTGTTCAATATAAATTAAACCGTTATTCTAAAGATTTCCCGTAACATCACAGGTCAACGTATATACTGGACGTGTGTAGTTTGATGTAGCTGTTTTCTCAATGTTAGCTTTTTTCATTACTTTTATACATAAAACCTTAAGAACCTATTCAAAATTTCATCTTAATTCATTTGAAAAGTTTTTCTTAAAAACACGTGCAAAAAATTATCTTTACATATATACATATATAGCTAACTGTACTTCTACCGTTCAGTTAACCCGTAACACTGATTATAAACAATATTGAACAAAAATGTTTATCACCTATTTTCCCTCTCAAACTCCGTAAAACTATTCATATTTACATATCTCCTGGTCGTTCTCATTCTCGCTACAGCGACACTATCAAACACCCACTTAGAATTCACTTCCCCGACATTATTTCCAATCACAATGTCATTTTCCCCGTCAATGTGTCGGCCATTTTGTAGAACGGTTTGGGCGCCATCTTGTCCACCATCTTGTACAACAGCGCCGCACAGCTTTAGCAGTTGTATGGCAGCGTCTCTGTTGTCTGCGTCTTGTGAGATTTGAACGCGTATACCGTTGAATACGTCGTATGCGTATTCAGAGTTCAGAAGGCCTAAAGCTGATCGCTCGACGCGTGCTTTCTGTAAAAAGAAAAATATATAATTATATAAAATTAATAAAAATCTTGGGATGACCTTCCGCAAATTAGTGAACACGTTACATATACGTTCGATTTTCGGTCCAGTATGTGCACAAGCAATTTTTAAGGTGCTTTTAAACACGTACAAAATGAATGAGGTTCTTAATTTGTGAATTAATATTTTTTTTATTGGTTATATTTAAAGTTCATTAAAATTTATTTTAATTAGGCGTATACTTTTTAAAGTTAAATAAATTATTTGATTATAGTTTTTTATACCAGAGTTGATAAATTATATTTATTTCTGTAAGTAAATCTTTTCAGATATTTTTACAAGTCGGAGTTTATAGCTAGAAGGAGCCGGCATTTCTTAAGACTCAGTCTGGGAAGAAACGCCGAAGCAAACCACAGAGGTGTCTTTTTTCTCTAAGTCCGTAAACAAAGTTAAATAAAACTGTGCGAGTACAGTATAGGGTCTGGGTAGGCCTTTTGAAGAAAGGACCATAGTTTTGAGTCGGCCTGTCCATACAGACGGCATACAGGCTCCAGCCATAGTGTAGCCTAACCGATATTGGTCAAGATCAACGACCCGTAGCATGACACCACCGCCAGAAGGACATTTGGGTAGGCCGTGGAAACACTCAAAACCACCATAAAGTTACTAAAATATGAATTAACATTACAAGCCTACACTATACTCACATTTACATACTTACAAAAATAAACAAATTAAAACAAAAAAAATACGAAATACACCAAAAAAATAATAATTAAATGTCCATCACTTTCAAACTCTACAACAAAGATGTGTACGTAAATGTGGGAGTGAGCAGCGTCAATCCCAAGCAAATTAGTCGTCTAAATAATCTGTAATTGTGTAGTAAGCCTTATCACACAGTTTTAGCTTCAGTTTTAGCTTCTAGACTTAAATTTGTTAATACTTAATTCATGAAATTTGCTTGACACATAATTGTAAAATCGCACACCCTGACAACGAAAAGACTTGCTTACTTTTTGTAGTATGCAAGTTTTTTCGTTGTAGTTTGTAGTATGCAAGTGTATAGTTGTGTGTGAGATGTGTCAAGGTTATTATTATTCTTAGTAGAATTTCTAAGTTTAATGGTATTTATGTGTAAAAATGAGCAGAACAAGAATAAATAAAAACATATTTTGATAGTATATTAAAAAGTTTCAAGGCAATTTTCTTAAAATTTGTACAATTACATAAAAAAATATGCAATATATTTATCATGCCAAGATTTTAGTAGAATTAAGACTTGAAGGTTTGTCTGATTTCAAACTAGGCAGTCTGTGTTATGGTAACCAGACTGCTGATAAATATTTATATATTTCTAAACACACTTAATAAAGAAAGATTATACTTTTTTTTTCTTGACGGGGTGGAAATACCCTTCGGATCTCCGGCTCCTTGAGGATATAGGAGCCAGGAGTATGTGGTGTTTCCACTAAAAACCACTACCTAAATATCACAACCCTACTCCTAGGAGGACCCGGACTGCGGAGCAGTCGGTTGCCCGGCAGTCATTGCAGAGCCCTTTACCGTCCGGACCATCCGCGTTGGTTCGGGGCGGTCGATGGCTCAGCGCCCATTTATTGGCTGGGTGGGGAAGGCTTCCATTGCTATCTCCTAAGAAAGGGTGCTGGCTTTGTGGCAGTGGAGCTCCCAATCGTGGCCTAGCTGAATATAAGGCATACCTTCACGGGTTGGCAATCTGCATTCGCAGCTATGCCTCCCGTCCGGTATTCGTCCTGGGTGACTTCGACGCCCACTCAAGGGAGTGGGGTGACTCTCGGGACGATGCGAGGGGAGAGACGATCCTGGAGTGGGCGTCTGGACTGGACCTCCGACTTCTAAATCGGGGCTCAGTTAGCACCTGTGTGCGATGGCAGGGGGAGTCGATAGTCATGTCGGGGCACCAGGGACTTCCTTTCTAGGGTATACCTGGTTCCCCGGCTATTAGTACCCGAGACGGCGTGCGGTTTTAGTCGGTTCGAGTCCGACATGCCACCGACAGGTGGTATCCGAGGGGATTTCCGCACGGAAAAAAAAAAAAAACAAAAGGGGGAGTCGATAGTCGACCTGTCATGGGCGACTCCCTCTGCAGTGCACATGGTGTCGGGATGGCGGGTGGCGGAGGAAGTGGTCAATCTTTCAGACCACCGGCACATCGTATTTGATGTGTCTCTCCGCCGCGCTGACCGCCCACGTAAGGATAGAGAACCTCCGCGACGATGGTCCCTCAAGCGGCTTGACCGAGAGATGGTCGTTGCCGCATCCCGCGTGGCGGATTGGTTGGAGGAAAGGGTTTCGCCCGATCCAGAAGAACAGGCGGCTTGGTTCGGGAACATTATGGCGTCCGTATGTAATGCCTCAATACCCCGAGTCAGGCCAGCCAGGAAGTGCTCGGCGTACTGGTGGAGCGTGGAGATCTCGCAGCTGAGAACGACGGTCGCGAGATTGCGCCGCCCGTATCTTCGAGCCCGGAGAAGACGGCGAGCTACAGAATATGGCGCTGCTGTAAAGGCTCTCAGCGATGCAATCGTTGAGGCCAAGGCTCGGCGATGAGTTCTTTCCAGGAGAAAGAACTCATCGGGGGACTGGATAGGGACCTATGGAGGCGCCCGTACAAAATTGTACTGGTCAAACTAAAATCATGGGTTCCTCCATTGACGGAAACCCTGGACCCGGAGTTCCTGGGAAGAGTGGTAGACACGCTCTTCTCAAGGGTCCAGGACAGTCCCTTGATCTCTCCGTTACAATCGGACTGGCAACTCTGGACCGACGAGTGGGAGGTGACGGAGGGAGAGCTGGACCGAGTCGTGCGGCGACTGGCTTCCCGCAACACTGCGTCTGGACCTGATGGTATTCCAGGTCGGGTGCTGGTGATAGCTGTGACAAACTGAGGCGGATTTTTACAGATTGTTTTAGCCTCGGTGTCTTCCCCCTCGGCTGGAAAGAAGCGAGATTGGTGCTCTTGAAAAGGAAGGTAGGACTGCAGATTCTCCCTCTGCGTTCCGACCGATATGCCTGCTGAACGAGTCGGGGAAACTCTTTGAGAGGGTTATCTCTGATCGTATCAGCGGGCACCTGTCGCGAGTAGGTCCTGATCTGTCGAACTGCCAGTTTGGATTCCTACGGGGGCGTTCGACAGTGGACGCTATCAGGTGCCGTTCTACCTGCGGGCCGTCATTGGGGCCTATCTGCGCGATAGGACAGTGAAGTTTATCGGTCTGGGCGGGGTTGAAATTCGAAGACAGGTGTGTTGCGGGGTTCCCCAAGGTTCTGTCTGCAATTACAGTAAGTGTGGCAATCTGTCCGGCTTGGGCGTCGGGTCCTCACTGCAGTCATCGGAGGAGATCTCGCGCTACCGGCCGTCATACGCTCCATGGCCGGTAGTGATAGTTGTTTTCCCCCGTGTCCCTTACCTGTGCGATCTTCCTCAGATGCTGCACCTCGTAGGGGTGGTGGTGCGCCCAGCGGCCCCGCGCGGCGCTGTCGGCGGCCCAGCGCGGCGCCAGCACGCGCGCGCCCCGCGCCGCGCCGCACAGCGCGCTCAGCGTCCGCGCCGAGCGGGCCGGGGGGGCCGACCAGCACGACGACTTGCTCAAGTCGCAGTGGGACGATATACCTGACAGAGAACAATCCATATACTAATGTTACAAATGCGAAAGTGTGTCTGTCTATCTATCTGTCTGTTGTCATTACACGCTAAAACCGCTGAACCGATTTAGATGAAATCTGGTATGGATGTGATGTGAATGGATGTGTGGTAATGTAGTATGATGAGGAAGGAAAAAAGCTACTTGGAGATAGTATGACGAGGAAGTACAAAGGAAAAGGCAAATTTGGTATGGAGGTAATATGATGAGGAAGGACAATAGCTACTTGGAGATAGTATGACGAGGAAGGACAAAGGCAAAGCCAAATTTGGTATGGAGATAATATCATGAGGATGGACAATAGCTACTTGGAGATAGTATGACGAGGAAGGACAAAGGCAAAGCCAAATTTGGTATGGAGATAATATCATGAGGATGGACAATAGCTACTTGGAGATAGTATGACGAGGAAGGACAAAGGCAAAGCCAAATTTGGTATGGAGATAATATCATGAGGATGGACAATAGCTACTTGGAGATAGTATGACGAGGAAGTACAAAGGAAAAGGCAAATTTGGTATGGAGATAATATGATGAGGAAGGACAATAGCTACATGGAGATAGTATGACGAGGAAGGACAAAGGCTAAATTTTACCGCGATAACCGGTACACACGCGGACGTACCTAGTGTTTAATACAAAGCTTACCTTACATTTTACAACAATAATCAGTTCGTATTACATACCCTATCATTCCATATAAGCAATCTTTTATCCCTTGCAATATCCAACCAAATTTCAAGTAATTCGATTTTAATCTGTGTCGAGTGGGTCTTGTGTCCCTCTAACACAAAGAGCCTCAGGTGACCATATCTACCTGACCGCGGCCCATGGTTAATGTTGGGAACTTGTATTTATACGAATCGAACTTTCATTGCGCGATTTAGGATCAGTAGTTATTCCGTAGTTGATACTTTCATCAAATGGTACTGAAGTATGTTTCGTTGTATGTGATGTTGAAAAAAAAGTTTGATAATAGCATAGGCCATAGTGAATTTTAGAACAATGTTTTTTGAAGTGTTTCATTCTTCCGGTGGTGGCGTTGTATTCGTTTTCAAAATGTCTAAAATCTGAATGTAATTTCTTACTGTATTGAGATCCAAATAAATCCAGAGTTTATTGAGAGAATTCTTATTTATTTTGTGTAATTCGTGAACGTCGCCACAGAACTGTCCATCGTTACCAATATAACAATATCTTAAACTAAGGTAAAATGTGTCTCTCTGTTCGTGTGGTGACGAATTAAGAATAGAGTGTCACCACCACTATTTATACCGTAGGTGTAGTAAGAATCGACTAAGAGTGCAACATACACAGGAAAACAGCATTGCAAAGAGTAGGAAAACTTGAAAAAAACCCTTTTTTTACGTGTGGAAACCTCGAGCCGTCATCCCCACCTTGGTTTGCGGCGGGGTGGAGTATTGGAACTGGACCCGATAAAACCACACAATAGGAGGGATCCTGGCACTGTTGTGAAGACCCCCCTGAGAAGATTAAGCCCATAAGCCCCTTTTTTTACCTGTGGAAACCCCTCGGGCCGTCACCCCACCGGGGTTTTCGGCGGGGTGGTGTGTCGGAATCGGACCGACTAAAACCACACGGTGTGCCACTCTGCGCCTGTTATAGAAGGGATCCTGGAACTGCTGTAATTAAGAAATCCGGACCCCTCCTAGCGCCTGCCCGCAATTGTGCGGGCACCACCTTCGGGTACATTCTCTATTCCTCGCTGAAGACATAACCCCTATACCAACACGTCTGGTCAGCGTGGTATAGTAGACCAAAACCTTCTTTCTAAGAAGAGGCCTATGCCCAGCAGTGGACTATTAAAGGCTGAGGATGAGTAATAATATTTCAAACTAAGCTAAAATCCTACCTGTTATATTCGAAGCGTGGTTTTCACACAGCATATTCTCTGTACAAGAGCCCAGTAGTACATGAGTTGTTTTCTTATTAACGCCATTTTGGATAACACCGCCTAGCTGCTGAATGAACTTCGTCACCGCCTGCCTTTCTACCCGAGACATACCTGTTAGAACCTGTAAGTACAAAAAAGATATTTCAGATCTTTTGTTCTGGATAATCCGACCGTGGACCGATTTCCACGGGACTTTTACTGGGGTGTTTTTTAATGGAAGAGTAGGCAAACGAGAGGACAGTCCTAGGCCTCAATTCTGCTATTTTATGTTCACGCCAAGCCACTGTCATACCACTGACACGCTATTGAGATACCATCGAGTGGCCATTGGCATCGGTATAAATATCGGCAGTCTACACTAACTTAACAACAACAAAAACAGCAACGATTATTCTGTTAATTACGGTGTATTGTGTCCGTGTGGTGACGGATTAAGAATACAAATTGTCACCACCCCAATTCATCCCGTGGGTGTCGTAAGACCCGACTAAGGGAGCAAACTAAGCAGGACAACAGCACTGCAAAGGGAAGGAAAACTTGACACAAACCCTATACCAACCCGTCTGGCCAACGTGGTATAGTAGGCCAAAACCTCCTTTCTAAGGAGAGGCCTATGTCCAGCAGTGGACTAGTATAGGCTGTTCATGATTCATGTGTCGTTGTAGTTTATACATTTTTATCAATAAATATAATAAATCCATAACAACTTTATGGACCAAAATTCAAAAAACGTAATACATTTTCAAATTAAAAGGAAATGATTTATTTATTTTTCCAAATATGGCGATATTTTTGATATCACCACTGATGAGCCACTGCCATTCCATTACCACTGTAAAGACACTGAGTTAGTGTAGACTACCGATATTTATACCGATGCCAATGGCCACTCGATGGCATCTCAATAGCGTGTCAGTGGTATGAAAGGCTTGGCGTGAACATAAAATAGCAGAATTGAGGCCCTGATAGCAAGTGATTACCGCCGCCCATGAACGCCTGCAAGGAGTCACAAGAGCGTTCCTGGCCTTTGATTTGAGAAAACAGAGATTGTTGATATTGTATGTGTTGATCTACGACTTTAGAGTCTATTGACGACTGGATGGCGAAACAAACAAAGGATGAAACAAACAGGTGAAGCTAATAAAAAGCGTATAAAAACATATTTCATAAAATATTTGACGCACAACCAATCTGTGGAACAAGTTATCATGTACAGTATTTCCAGAAAGATACGACCTTCAAGAAAACAACGTATTCCTTCCTGAAACTCAAAATAGCTTTATTTTATAAAATTGTTTGAAATCATCTTTTATATAATAATAATAATAATATTCTACCACATACACACAACGCCATCTAGTTTCAAACTAAGCAGAGGTTGTACTATGGGTACTAGACAACTGATATAAATACATATATACTTCTTTTTGTAAATACATATATACTATACATGGAAGCACCCAGATCAAATCAAACATTAAATGTTCATGCATACAAATGTTTGACTTGAGCGGGAATCGAACCCGCGGCCTTTGGAATAGCAGTCCGTTACACAAACCACTACTCATTCTGGTCTTCTTATATTTAATTATCTTTGGGATAGTCATACTTCTTTGACGCATATGGGCAGGTGATCCGTTTGCACGTTTGCTTCCTACATTATCATCATCATCATCAAGAGCCTCAATTTGTCCACTGTTGGACATAGAAAACTCCCTAGAAGAGGTTTTGGCCTACTGTACCATGCTGGTCAGGTGGGTTGGTATAAGTTTTACTTCTCTTTGCAGTGCTGTTGCTTCCTACGCTACGCTACGCCATCTAGTTCCAAACTAAGCAAAGCTTGTACTATACTATAAATACATAATATACTTTTTTTTCGTAAATACAAACCACTACGCCATTCGGTCAAAACATTATCTTTTTACAAGTTTTTACTTAATTTGTAAAGTTTGTATTTATTGTTATTCGGCACGATTCTTGGAAGCTAAATTAGAACCACTTCCCGATGTCCAATTGGGCTTAAATTTGATGTAAATGTGTATTTTACTATGAAGCTGGAAGACGGCCTATAGATAGGAACTTCTTTCTTAACTGAACCAGATAAACCTATCGACTTTGGGCTCATTTGTTAGTTCTTGGTGAGTACTTACCATGATATCAAGGGTCAAGAAAAGCTTGTTTTATATTTTTAAATTACACATAATTTAAAGAATAACCTCCAAAATCTAAATGGCAGGTTTTGTACAATTTACAGTAGAAATAACTTACAATTCTGGGGTTAAGTCCGTGTTGTTTAGGCACCACTTTATTATTATTAGTACGTTGTATATGACACGCCGATAACAGTTTCTTCGCCATACGTTCTGCACGAGCCAAGTCTCTTTTCTCACTTTGGGTTAACTTACTTTGGTGTAATTTGTTACGGACTGTGGTGTCTGTAATAAACAAACAATAATAATCTTTACTAATATTATAAAGCTGAAGAGTTTGTTTGTTTGTTTGTTTGAACGCGATAATCTCAGGAACGCCTGGTCCGATTTGAAAAATTCTTTTAGTGTTATATAGCCTTCTAGAACTAGATAGCCTAGATAGATTCTTTTAGTGATAGATAGATAGAGCATTAGTACATTTTTTTTTTAAATTATATATCAGCTAGCTGACCCGCGCAACTTCGTCTGCGTCTCTCAATAGTAATAAATTTTCTCCGTTTTTGAAACATTCTTCATTGGTGCTCCGCTCCTATTGATCTTAGCGTGATAATATATAGCCTATAGCCTTCCTCGATAAATGGGCTATCTAACACTGAAAGAATTTTTCAAATCGGACCAGTAGTTCCTGAGATTAGCGCGTTCAAACAAACAAACAAACAAACTCTTCAGCTTTATAATATTAGTATAGATATCACACATTACACGTGACTACCTACTGAAATTCTTGTTAATTTCTTTTCGTATACAGAGAGGTGATAAAATCACACTTTTATTTTACACTGTCTATATAAATTTATATTGCTTGGGATGGACTTAAATCCAGTTGGTATTTTTTGGTCTACTATCTGATCCGGCAAACGTTGTTCTGCTATATTAATTTTCAGAGAAATCAAACGTAAATAAAGTGGTGGGTAGGAGGGTGAAAAATACTTTACGACCAATTCTCATACCTACCAAATATACAAACACAAAAACATTAAAGTCGGTCGAGCCGTTTCGGAGGAGTGCGACAACAAACATCGTGACAGGAGATATTTTGTATATAGCGTTTATTATTTCATTCGGATTTTTTTAAAAGAAGGTAATTCCTTTTTATTACATTAAATGGATACAGCTTTTTTTCTACTCTATGGTCGACCACTTATTTATAAACATAGTAGCTCTTTCTTTGTCTAACTTCTTAGACATAGACATATATTTATACATAAAAACTGTGTACAAATAAGGGTGTTTTTACATATTGGTATCAGGCTCAGCAGTGTTGCAATTTATGTGAAATCCAATTTAATACATAATTAAATAATACGGCCAGGTTGAGTGACGATTTGCCCAAGATGGCTGGCAGGAGCCATCTTGGGATCTAATGGCGTGCAATGGGAGAGGCCTATGTCCAGCAGTGGACTACGCGGACGCTACACTATTTTAGCATCAAAGAATTCTCTCACACTACAGAACACATTGTTTGTTAACCAATTTTTTAAACTATTTCTGAATATATTTCCGTTTGATTTTTTGATGTTTACGGGAATGTGATTAAATACACGTAAAGCGGTGATATATGTGCTTTTGTAGTATATAGTATTATTAATTATTATATATCTTACCTGAATTTTCATCAGAACTCAACTCCTGGGCCTCTTTATGCGTGAACAGTTTTCTCCTGGACTTGGTAGGTTGCTTGTTGGGTGATGAAGCTGCAAGCGGACGAGTGGATGGTTCTGTAGTCATACCACGCCGTGGTGCTGTGTTGACGCGAGACTCAAGTTCTGTGAGAAAATCCTTAGCTTAAGATCTGGTTGAAAACCAGCGCTTGACATCTGTCAACCAGACGCTGGACTAACTCCCATTCGACTGACTCCTGAAGTGGGTAGTGTTAAGTTTCTGTATGTTCTTCCGTGTGGTGACGGATTAAGAATACAGAGTGTCACCACCCCTATTCATCCCGAGGGTGTCGTAAGAGCCGACTAAGAGAGTAAACTACGCAGAACAACAACACTGCCAAGAGAAGGAAAACTTGACACAAACCCTTTACCAACGCGACTGGTATGGTATGCCCCCATACCACCCCAGCGTGGTATGGTAGGCCAAAACCTTATTTCTAAGGAGAGGCCTATGTCCAGCAGTGGACTAGTAATGGTTGTTGATGATGATGTGTGTTCTTACTTCCAATAATAAATTGTTTTTCTTTCTTTTCTTTCAGTTTGTTTTCTTACACATTGTTTACACTACAGTTTTTTAAAAAAGTAGCCTTTAAAACTTTAGTACAAATTTAACAAACATTCTAATAAATATTATTGCGGCCACCTCGTGTTAAAACGCCTGGCGCCATCTGTTAACAAGTAGCAGAATAATGTGACAGTAAAATTCAATCTATATATATATATATAAGAGATTTCCACGTATATAGTCACTCATCACGATATCTCTGGAACCATTAGAGATAAAGACTTGAAATTTGGTAGGAATATTCTTTTCAACGAGTAGAGGTCAGCTAAGAGCGGATTTTAAGAAATTAAAAAAATAATAATAATTAAATAATGTAAATAGCAAAACAACGTTTGCAGGGTCAGCTAGTTATTCTATAATTGTTCATAATATGATGTTTATACAAGTTACCAGAAGAGTGTCTCAGTCGGGTTATTACAAGATTAACAAGACTACAAGCCTTAAGAAACTTTATAGGAGACAAGACTAAAAAGGAAGCCGTGACACGGTGTGGATACATTCAATACTAGCTGACCCGCTCAACTTCGTCTGCGTCTCTGAATAGTAATAAATTTTCTCCGTTTTTGAAACATTCTTCATTGGTGCTCCGCTCCTATTGGTCTTAGCGTGATGATATATAGCCTATAGCCTTCCTCGATAAATGGGCTATCTAACACTGAAATAATTTTTCAAATCGGACCAGTAGTTCCTGAGATTAGCGCGTTCAAACAAACAAACAAACTCTTCAGCTTTATAATATTAGTATAGATAGTTCTGTGAAACAGCAAGTAAACAAGTCGATGCATAAAGACCCTATTTCGCCTATTTAACAGTAAATCTAGTAATTATATTTTTATATATGGCCTACATAACAATAAAAAAAATACTAAATTTACTGTTAAACAGCGTCTAATATTTACCTAGCAACCCTAACCTACGTACGCTAAAATCGAATGATAAATCACAGTTCGCTGTGTGTTTATAATACTCACCACACGACTAGAAACCTCTTTATAGCTTATTAAAATCCCTAGAACTTTCGATTTCAGAGAAATATAAATTCTTTTCAAGATAATTATGCGACAATCTATTTTCGATCTTAAGCATATTGTTATAGAACACATTTTTCCGTACCACTCTGATTATTAGAACTATTTTAAATATTCCCCCTTTCTTTCTAGAATTTTCGTGATATTTCGTGACAATATATTTAGGTATTTTAAAGACTATTTTTTTTTTATAGCGGACAATGACGCAGAAGCAAAAAGAGCGAAGAATCACCAAGGAGTTCAAGAAAGTCCCCATGCTGTTGTACTCCCAAGTTTTTACTAACCTGTGCTGTCGTAAGACGTGTCTGTAGTTTTATCACGGCTGGTGTCCGTGCCTGAAGATATCTTTAACCTCAAACGAGGCATCTCCTTCTCTTCTTCTTTGCTGTCAGAGAGGAGATCTGCTAATGGTATGTTCTCACTTTCGGCTTTTTTCTGTAAGTATATTATAATATTGTATTCATTTAGGAAAATTAAACCGGTGGGAAATAATTATTCTATATCGTAAAGAGTTGATTTTGGGATTGCATCTGAGGGCCTTGTATGAGGTTATTTCACATCCACTCGCTCTCGACGGTGAGAGCGTTCGTCGTTGCGATTGGTGAGAATTTCGACCAATCGGAACGCAGAACGCGCTCACAAATAAGCAGTATATATATATAATAGGCAATTCATATAATTTATAAGATAATACTTCACAGTTTGCGTTAGAACATCCAAAGCGTAACACATTGCAATAAGTCTCTTCAACATAATATATAATTGTACTTACAAGCAACACCCTCAGTTTTCTCGGAGACGGCAGATCAGACTGTCGGGAGGCGACGGGGAACATGTTCTCGCGCAACTTACGAGCGGCGGCTGCACACGCCTCCACCCACAGCGGGGACACCACCTTGCACGCTAATGCACGTGCACGTGCACGCAACGCGCGGCTACCGCCTGCGGACAAAGGTAACATTATAAAGAGCTATACGCAGGCAGCCTTTTGGAGAATCTGAACACATTAGGATAATATATTACTCGTATATATTTTTTGTCATTTATTATGATATTTATATGTATAAACTATATGTATGTATATCTAGTACTTATATATCTGTAGGATTTGTTCTTTTCTGCCATTGTAACATGGCTTCATAGCCAGATGAGACTCATCTTTACCTGTCCCAAATATACACCTGCCACACACAGCTTTGCAACACCCAAAGATTTGACTGGAAGAAAATGCCTAAGGCGTTAAGTCCGCCTTATGCAATATGTTTGCAGGAAGACTCAATAAATAAATAAATAAATAATGGGTCCTGTACGACCTTCACTAAAAACTATTTTGTTAGAATAGATTAGGGATTCCCAAATTATTTCGGGCATAGCCAATACTGCACGTTTATCGACTAGTGGAGTTTTTAAAAAGTACAACAATGTTACTTCTTACTAAAATATTAGTCATTCTTATAACAAGTTGGTTTACATAACACAACTAATACAGTATTTATAAGTATGGACAGGCATAATAGAGGAGATAAAACTGATACCGTCGACCTCACTGGATGGAGTCCTTTATCAAATCTATATATATATATATATATAATTACTTGCCCTTACTGACTGATTCATCAACGCAGGGCCTTAATTCAAATTTCACCCCTAAGGGGGTAAACTAAGGGATGAACGTTAGTATGAAATCATCATTTATAAAGCTTGAAACTTCATTGTGAGAGTGCTGACAAAACTCGTGATCAAAATCTCATAAATTACCTAAATACTCGCAAAATTTAAATAAAAAAGACAATTTACTTTCAGTCCAAATAAGATGTGTGACCAGTGGACTCCAGGCTAGAGTAATCGTAGCTCCAAGTGCAGTTAGTGCAGCACGGAGAGGCAGTGCTCGAGATTCCGAGCCAACTTCCACTAGTGCTACAACTCCTGTTAACGCATCACTGGTTACCAGCATTGGTTGATGGGTCTGAAAAGGATAGCGCTGGAAATGTATAAATGATAATAATTAAGTGTGTAAATAATAATAATTAAATGTGTCTTCATTAATTCTTCAAGGGAGCAAACTACTCAGGGCAACGGCACTGCAAAGAGAAGGAAAACTTGACACAAACCCTTTTTTTTTTTTTTTTTTTTAACGTGTTGAAATCCCCTCGGACCGTCACCCCACCGGGGTTTGCGGCGGGGTGGTGTGTCGGACTCGGACCGACTAAAACCACACGGTGTGCCACTCTGCGCCTGTAACAGGAGGGATCCGGGAACAGCTGTTATTAAGACATCCGGACCCCTCCTAGCGCCGGCCCGCTCCTGTTGCGGGCTCCGTCTCAAAATTTTCCTCTCTTTAGGCGACGTCCGGCACACGCGGACGCCGCCCCCTCGCGGCTGGCCAAACTAATGCGGGTGGAGGGGAAACCCACCCCGTCCACCCGCGGCCACACTCAGGGCGGCATGAGGCGGTGATAGGCGCGCCTCCGCCGCCCGGTTCGCCGGCGGCGGATCGGGTCCGAGTGGAGGTCGTCCTCCCGGGCCTTCTCCGCCGCCTCCTTCTGCGAGATTACTTCCTTGCAGAAGGTTGCGACCGCGGTAAAACAACTGTCGCTACCGGCCATGGAGCGTACTACGGCCGGTAGCGAGAGATCCACTCCGATGACTGCAGTGAGGGCCCGGCGCTGCGCCGCCCATGCGGGGCAGACCGCCAGCGTGTGCTGGGCCGAGTCCTCACTGCAGTCGCAGTGGTGGCAGGCGGGACTCAGTTCCCTCCTAGCGACCGAGTGCAGGTACTTCCCGAAGCAACCGTGCCCGGAAAGCACCTGCGTCAGCCGGAAGGTAAGGGTCCCGTGCTGCCGCCCTGGCCACTCGGCGATGACCGGCTGGAGAGCCTCCACGGCGGCGAAGCCAGCGCGTGGAGTGTCCAGCCGGAACGACCAACGAGCCATCGTGGCTCGGCGAGCGGCTTCGCGCCACTCGCGCACGTCTTCAGGCGGAGGGCGAAATCCGCTCTCCGCCCGGGAGTCAGCCACTCGCCGATAAACTTCGGCGAGCACTTCCGCCTCCAAATCCCACGGGGGAGTTCCGGCCAACGCGCACGCCACCTCCGTCGACACGGTGCGGTAACCGCGTATGGCTCTGACCGCCATTACCCTCTGAGGGCGCCAGAGGCGTGCCCTATTCTGGGCGGTCAGAGCCGCCGCCTACACCGGTGCACCGTATAGTGCCATTGACCGGACAACCCCCGTGTACAGCCGTCTTGTCGCGACGCTGGGTCCATCCAAATTGGGCAAAAGTCGCCCTAGGGCAGACGCAGCGCCGACCAGCTTTGGAGCAAGCTGTCGGAAGTGCTCGTCGAAGAGCCACCTGCCGTCGAGGATCAGGCCCAGATATTTCATCTGGGCCCGAACCGGTACGAGGACCGAGTTGACCACGATTGAGGCGCCAGGGGGTGGACCACGACGGGGCCCATGAAATAACAGGGCCGTAAGCCCAGCGCCTCAACGCGCCCGACCACCAGGGAGACTCCCCTTGTGGCCAGGCGCGCCGCCTCTTGGAAGTTCGCCCCCCGGGCTGTCACCAGGGTATCGTCTGCGTAACAAATTACACCCAGCCCGGGGGGGACTTGACACAAACCCTATACCAACCCGTTTGTAGCCATCGTGGTATAGTAGGCCAAAACCTCCTTTCTAAGGAGAGGCCTATGTCCAGCAGTGGACTATTATAGGCTGTTGATGTGATGTGTCTTCATTAAGTCATTACTAAACCAAAATTTGATGTTACTGTACCATATCAACTTCAAAATTTTTTACTAAATATCTTTTAATTAAAAGGAATGTAAATTGTTTAGTAACTAGAATAGGGATAATTTAAATGCTTGATGTTTAGAGATCAACCTAAAGTTACAGACAGTTACTTGATAGACACACACAAATATTTTAAACTAGCTGACCCGCGCACCTTCGTCTGCGTCTCTCAATAGTAATAAATTTTGTCCGTTTTTGAAACATTCTTCATTGGTGCTCCGCTCCTATTGGTCTTAGCGTGATAATATATAGCCTATAGCCTTCCTCGATAAATGGGCTATCTAACACTGAAAGAATTTTTCAAATCGGACCAGTAGTTCCTGAGATTAGCGCGTTCAAACAAACAAACAAACTCTTCAGCTTTATAATATTAGTATAGATTGAGCAAAAAGAAAAAAGAATCATTACTTGATTGTTATTGGTTGTCATCATTGGTTTCTTCTTATTAGAAGTACTAGGAATACAGCTAGAGTTTATGGTTTTCTTCTTTAGAATATTCTGTGATGTTCCTGCTTCGTCAACTTCCTTCAGTGCAGACCATTCTTCTCTTAATCGGATCCTTTCTGCTATTGCTGAGCGGCGCTGGAATTACAAAAATTCATAGATAATTTAACTACAACTTTAAACAACTAGCTAATTCCACTGAGTACATTTTATTGCCCTGTTTTTCAAGTGGTTAGTGATCTAAGCTGAACAGTATGTTATTGGTTGTGGGCTCCGGTTTCCGCATTTAGACTCCAGAAAGGTCCTTTATGCGTCGAGGAAAGGTTGGCCAGGTCAGTTAACCAAACTCTTTACAGAAGTGCAGAAGCTTCCTATGGCATTCACAGGCTTCTAGGAGCTTCCTTAATCCTTCTCTATACTTCTAATAATGTCTATGCTAATTTTCTGATGATCAGTTAAGTAGTTAAGGTGTGAAAATGTGGAATATACTCACATTATCTTTGAAATTAAACAGTTTGTAACCAGTGAGTCTTTGTTACATAGTTAAATAGAAGATCCAATCATACGAATACATTGTTGGTATTGTAAAGGTCACAAACATGATCTTGATTACATCTCTAAATTCTTTTTTTTTAAAGTGATCTAAAACATTAATTTTTAAGGGCACTATTATGAGTTTCAATTCGTGGAATTGATAAAATTATTGGCCTAAAAACATTTTAAATTCGTAGGTTCCTGTGCTGTAAGTAACACGTATATTTTATTCATCTGTGAGCCCATGTAATGTATGTCAAATCATATGTTTGACAATTTCAGTGTCATATTTTGGCGCCGAATTTTGTTAAATAAGGTTTCATAGTTTCATAACCTTTTTTTATATTTATTCTACTTACCAAACCAGCAGCACCTCTGTTGTTTTCTTTATTCATAATTAAAAGTTGAATTCAACTCGCGTTAAGTAAATAGACAATAATTAAAAATATTAAACATATAGTAATTCATAAAAGAATATTAATATACTTGTATAGTAGATATATCAAAAGGAATTTAGTACACGATTTGTATACGAGTTCATGACAAAAATAAATAAAAACTAGCAAGAAATGCAAGAATCATATAATAATAGAAATCATGTGACATGTCACAATATGTTTCGACAATGTCAAAAGGCAATGTCAAAATATACTCTCATACGTCAAAACAGTGCTGCCATTTTGCGGGCTTTTTTTGGCAAATTAAAGAAAAAAGTTAGTGAAATATGGCAAATGATTTTCACAGGTTTTAGAGTCCAGAAAATTTTACATATTTTGTTTCTCGATTCCTCAAATCACTATAATATGAGCTCTTTAATTTTTGACCCAAAAATGTAAAAATAAAAATCTAAATTAATAATTTATTTTCTTTAATTAAGATAAATACAATGCGAAATAATATTAGTTTATGATGAAGTTTGAACTTCAAAAAGACTTTTCAATGTGAATCCTTCTTTCAATGGTTCTATAGCTAACCCTAAATAAGGGCTATAGACAGGTTGACTTTCAGCTTCTCCCTTATTTTGAGCTAATTGTGACGCCAAATATAAGTTGGGCCCCATTTCTCCACGTGGCTCACCTATTTCTTCTAGTTCTTCGATATCATCAGATTCTGACTTTGGATTCTGTAATAAAAAAATACTCAATGAAACGTCCTTAAACATATTTCGATTTCCTATTATTCTTACGACAAATAACAATAAATTACAAAATTAATATCTGTCCTGTCTTGTTTGGGTTATAATTAATTCATGACTACATTTTTTTTAACATACATTTCTCGTAAAAGAATAACGTGACTCACAAAATTCGCAAAATGTTACCTATAGATAAGAAGATCAAGTACCTATTAGCTTTAGAACATTACTATAATTATGAGAACAAAGAAACTTTAATAAACACAAACAAATAAACAAACAAACAAATACAAGAAGAAAATATGTTGGTTAAATCGAAGGTGTCGAACTATTACGAACGACCGTCTAAGTTTTGGTACCTAAAATTTTTTAATGAAATTAGTTTATTAAGACAAAATACTAAGATAAACAAAGGTGTGCTTAAAACAAAATTGAGGGATTTACTACCCGATGACATCAATAAAAACAAAAAAATTAAAAACATAAACCTTTATAAATCTAATTTCCTTACCTCATTATTCCAAATAAGTTCAATACCAAAGATCGGTTTTTCTGTATATGCTCGATGTAACGCTTGCAGCTCTGTAAGTAACGGGCGGAGTCTTTCACGTGGGTCTGCTCTAAAACCTAATACGTAACCGCCTGAAGTTGGGCGAACTACGAATACTAGAGCTTCGCCGAACTTCGAATCTCGGACAGAAATCTGCAATATATAAACATTATAATGAACCATCAACCTGGTTTTGGGGGACAAAGAATATAATGTCATGTTCAAAAATCAAGTTGATGTTAAATAAAAAAAAAAAGCTTATAAAGGGTCATCATCATCATCAACAGCATTTAAAAGTCCACTGCTGGACATAAACCTTTCTTTAGAAAGGAGGTTTTGGCCTACTATACCAATCTCTCCAAACGGGTTTGTACAGGGTTTGTTTCAAGTTTTCCTTCTCTTTGCAGTGCTGTTGTCCTGCGTAGTTTGCTCCCTTAGTCGGCTCTTACGACACCCACGGGATGAATAGGGGTGGTGACATTCTGTATCCTTAGTCCGTCACCATACGGATATATAAAGGGTTACCAGATATAAAATTCAAAACTGCCAAATTTTTAAGACTTAAGAAACTAATAATGTTTAAGAGTATTTTCCGCTGGTATGTGGGTTTACTAGATCTTTATTGGGGCATAGGATTATTTATTGTAACAAATGTATAGCACAGGTTGTCTGTGCTTAGTGATGTGATCTTTTTTACTCGTCATATCATATAAAACTTTTGCGGTTTTGCTTGCACAGTTAGTTTTCGGAAGTTGTTGCTCGAACTTACACTTTCAATGGTAATATAGGGCATGGACACATTGAACGCGTCGTTGACATCGGCGTACCAAACGACTCTGACGTTGGTCACCACCAACGTACCCAAGTTACCCGAGTCACTGGACAAATTCCAGATACTGTGCTCATTCAGGCATATCTGGTAAAAGAAATTTATTAATTTTAGTTTAACTAAGAAAGGAAGTAGCGTATTTTAAAGTTATATTTTTTTAAACCCCAATAACTAAACATATAAACAGTTAGTATGTTTGTTCCTTTTTTATACATACTTAGAGATTGAATACAGATTAAAATATTAGTTTTAGTCGTGCATCGTCTTCAATATTGTTGGATTAAACTAATTAAATATGTAAGATTTATTTTATTTAATACTTTTCATATACAATCACAATTAAATATGTATATTAGGATTTTCATAAAATAGTTTATAGACTTGGAAACAAAAAACTAAAAGCAGAGACAACAACATGTTACTTATTTACACATTATAAATCATATGCAACTGAAGAAGTTGTTTGTGGTCAAAAATAAATAGAATTTCCAAACAGCAGTTCCTGAACCTACCGTTTCTAGCGGCAATATTTTCAAATGTTTGTTATGAACTATGGCACCTCTCAGCTTGATATCTCTGTACATACGAGAACCCGTGTAAGCTCTGAAAAACAGAAAATATAACCTCTAAGAGATCCAGCTAAAGTTATGATAGATTAAATTATGGCGGTCTAAGTTATTTACAGTTGATCTACTGTGTGCTAACCTTAATTTTTTCATCTTTATTTAGGGAGAGACGACACCCCTGCTTTTAATATTTTAAATGAGAACATTTGTTGGTTTGCTTAATTCTCTTACGTCTTAGCTATTGAATCGATTTCATCATCATTGATATCGGCTATGTCATAATTTGTGAACGAAGAAAGATGTTTGGGTTTTTAATTTTAGATATTCCAAAGAGTATTTAGTAAGTATTGAATGAAGGTATTTGTACTATTCGTTAATATTTCTTTCAAAGCCTATAAAATCATCTGAACATGCCGTGAGGCGAAAGTGGTCAGGTTTAATAAAAAAATATTGTGGAATAGTACAAGTGACTAGTGGCGAATTTGCAGCCTTGACCACTATAGGTCCCAGGGCGTTTAGTAAGTATCAGCCGTACCATCATATACTTACATAAATTGACTTTTTTGCCGGCTTTTATGAAAACCGATTGAGAAATTTAGTTAACCATAATAGCTGCTAGTTTGTAAAACTCCGAGGCCTTTGAAATGTCGATTTAGCTGAGGTAACAGCATTTGTTGAACTTTGGGCAACATTCTACATGGTGCAATAATTATTACAAATCTTGTCTAATTAAACAGATTTTATCAAGAGCAGTGTTTGACACCAATTGACATTGCTCTATTTTTTATGCCATAGAGGGCAAACGAACAGCCGGTCACCTAATGGTAAGTGACTACCGCTGTCCATGAACGCCTACAACTCAAAGAGTCACTAGTGCGTTAGAGTCCTTTCAATCCTCTTTGAATTTGTGATCCGGTCACTTTACTTACTCGGTGAAAATCGGTGGTAAGTGACTACCGCTGTCCATGAACGCCTACTACTCAAGAGTCACAAGTGCGTTGTTGTCCTTTGAATCCTCTTTGAATTTGTGATCCGGTCACTTTACTTGGTGAAAATCGGTCGAGCCGACCTATTACACTACTACTTTGGGAACCAGGAATAGCCGGGGAACCAGGAGCCGACCTATTACCCTGTACCGACGACTGACTGACTGTTTGACTGTCGACGTGTGTCGTGTGTGTGACGCATGACTCTCTATTTTTTGGAAATATATTCGGACATCTGACACACAACGCCATCTAGCTACAAACTAAGCAGAGCTTGTACTATGAAAGCTAGATTGACTGATAGAATCGATATTAAACATAGAAAACACCCAAACTCCGAAACAAATATTTGCAGATGATACAAACATTCGGTCCGACCCGGGTATCGAACCCGAGACCTGAGCACAGCATTTATATACGCTACTACAGTGTCACCAAGGCTATAAAAAATTGTTCTCTAAGATACATTATGTTTTAAAAATAAACCAGTAAAAACATGATAATTTTGGCGCGAAGTTTGTCGAATATACAAAGCATCTCATAAAGTCCCCATGGGATATATCCGTCCCACAGCAACATAACAGGATATATAATACTGTAATTATGGTATTAAATAACCTACTTTGATGTTAATGTTTTTTAATAAAAAAATGCACGACGATATACGAAAAAAAAACAACACAAGCTACAAAACGCTTTAGATGTGTTTTCTTTCATTCAAATGTATACAAATTGTTCTATAATTATGTCCTTTTTTCTTGTACAATAAAGAGTTATCTATCTATCTTTTAAATTATCTCCCGCATTAGGAATATATCCAGTGTCGCGGGGGAATTTACAAACATACATGAAACGAACACGAAGAACACCAAGACTCAGAACAACAATTTGTGGCTCACAGTGTTATCCCATGTGGGGATTGAACCCACAACAGTAGGAAGCGGCGAGTTGACCGCTTAAACCACTTAGCCATCTCTGCAGTCAGTGTTGCTTGAATAGCTATTAAATAAACCATAAATTAGATTTTAGATGCCCTGTTCGGTTCAAAGATTGTTTTTATTGGATAATATTTTATAAGATTACTAGCTGAACCGGCAAACGTTGTTTTGCCATATACATTATTTTAATTTTTTTTGTTAAAAAAAGGAAAAAATTTGGGGTATGAAAAATAGATGTTGACCGATTCTTAGACCTAGCCGATATGCACACAAAATTTCACGAAAATTGGTCGAGCCGTTTCGGAGGAGTTCAACCACGCACACCGTGACTCGAGAATTTTATATATTAGATTTTTCGCGTCTGTTCTCTTTCTCCAGCCCCGGATCTACGACTTTTTCGAACCGGGGTAGAAACTTGATAGTGGCGCCCCTCCCTAAATTACTTAAAAAACTCACAAATATATAAGTTCACTTGTAGTGAGGGCCTGTGTGGCGCCTTTTTCTTACAAGTCGACGGTGAGTCAACCAGGCTTCCGTATGCTAGGCGCTTTATGGAGCAAGTTTTTTATTTTTAATCATACCTACTATATTATGACTTTGACGCCCCCTGAAACTGACACGCGGGGCAGGTGCTCCGGTTTCCCCCCCCCTAGATCCGGGGCTGCCTTCCTCATTTCTCATTAATGCAACAGCGAAGCCTGGCGGCGTACAGCTAGTGTATCTATAAAAGTCAAATTTCACTGGACTGTTAGTATAGTGGTTGGCCATCCCGACTGTCAAGCCAGAGTTCGTAGGTTCTAGCTCATAAATCTTTACTTACTTGTGCACTCCAGCGACCGAAGTATAATGTCTGACACAGTTTGGGGATAAATTGGTGAATATGAATTCATATCGATTATTCTTAAACACAGCTAGCAGGTACAGCGCCTGTGTGGTGCCTCGGAGTCCAGAATTAACCACCTTCGTGCTTGTAGATAAGATGCAGTTCAGCCCAATAGCTGAAACATACGTTGGGTAGTTTGAAAAATTATAAATATAAGATCCTACTGCTAGTTGGATGGCCTCTAAGGATTTTCTGATCTGAACAAATTGGTAAACCAGAAAGTTTTTATGTTATAGGGGAAAAAGGGGCAAATGACCATAGACACCTCGTCATCAACAGCCTTTAATAGTCCACTGCTGGACATAGGCCTCCCCTTAGAAAGGAGGTTTTGGCCTACTATACTACGCTGGCCAGACGGGTTGGTATAGGGTTTGTTTCGCGCTGGCTTCGCCGCCGTGGAGGCTCTCCAGCCGGTCATCGCCGAGTGGGCAGGGCGGCAGCACGGGACCCTTTCCTTCCGGCTGACGCAGGTGCTTTCCGGGCACGGTTGCTTCGGAAAGTACCTGCACACGGTCGCTAGGAGGGAACTGAGTCCCGCCTGCCACCACTGCGACTGCAGTGAGGACTCGGCCCAGCACACGCTGGCGGTCTGCCCCGCATGGGCGGCGCAGCGCCGGGCCCTCACTGCAGTCATCGGAGTGGATCTCTCGCTACCGGCCGTAGTACGCTCCATGGCCGGTAGCGACAGTTGTTTTACCGCGGTCGCAACCTTCTGCGAGGTAGTAATCTCGCGGAAGGAGGCGGCGGAGAGGGCCCGGGAGGACGACCTCCACTCGGACCCGATCCGCCGCCGGCGAACCGGGCGGCGGAGGCCCGCCTATCACAGCCTCATGCCGCCCTGAGTGTGGCCGCGGGTGGACGGGGTGGGTTTCCCCTCCACCCGCATTAGTTTGGCCAGCCGCGAGGGGGCGGCGTCCGCGTGTGCCGGACGTCGCCTAAAGAGAGGAAAAATATACTGAGACGGAGCCCGCACCAGGAGCGGGCTGGCGCTAGGAGGGGTCCGGATGTCTTAACAACAGCTGTTCCCGGATCCCTCCTGTTACAGGCGCAGAGTGGCACACCGTGTGGTTTTAGTCGGTCCGAGTCCGACACACCACCCCGCCGCAAACCCCGGAGGGGTGACGGTCCGAGGGGATTTCCACACGTTAAAAAAAAAAAAAAAAAAAAAGGGTTTGTTTCAAGTTTTCCTTCTCTCTGCAGTGTTGTTGTCCTGCGTAGTTTTCTCCCTTAGTCGCCTCTTACGACACCCACGGGATGAATAGGGGTGGTGACACTCTGTATTCTTAATCCATCACCACACGGACAGTCGCACATGGACACCTGCACCTAAAGAAATAGTATAGGTGATAGTTTCTTTACATAAATTGATCCTGGGCGAAGACATGGAATGCCATATGATCCTCAAGTTGGTAACGACCATCCTTCCTTTGGTTCCACTGTTACCCTTTGTGTCTTCGATGGGTTCTATTCTGTCGAAAATCTTCTCACCTGGTCTTAACTTTAAATACCTGGAATGGAGAAGGTGGAAACTGTAGGAAAAAGTCTGAAGATAGATAGATAGATGGGACTCTTTATAACATTATGACGGCGTGTTGGTCTCGTGGTTAGCGACCCTGACTGCTAAGCCGGAGGTCGTGGGTTCGATTCTCACGCAAGACAAATCAATGTTTGATGAGCACGATCATTTGTTCTGTATCTAGGTGTATAGGTGTAATCTTATATATAAAATTCTCGTGTCACAATGTTCGTTCCCGTACTCCTCCGAAACGGCTTGACCGATTCTCATGAAATTTTGTGTGCACATCGGGTAGGTCTGAGAATCGGCCAACATCTATTTTTCATACCCCTAAATGGTAAGGGTGACCCATCCCTAAATTTTTTTTTAGGCAAAGCAACGTTTGGCGGGTCAGCTAGTCTTATACATAAAATTCTTGTGTCACAATGTTCGTTCCCGTACTCCTCCGAAACGGCTTGACCGATTCTCATGAAATTTTGTGTGCACATCGGGTAGGTCTGAGAATCGGCCAAGATCTATTTTTCATACCCCTAAATGGTAAGGGTGACCCATCCCAATTTTTTTTATGTTTTGCAATACAACGTTTGCCAGGTCAGCTAGTTTGTCTATAATATTGTTGTGTCCCTGACACGTCGTCGTCCCTCGTTTGTCGATTTGAAATAATAAAATCTCTCTGAAGTTAATTAGTAATAAAAAGACTTTATTACAAATAAAGAACATTTAAACAATATTCAATAATAGTCCGGAATTATCGCCGAGGTCGCTAGGTTTCACTTCAATTCGCTTAGATCGCTTGGATGTTGATCGAACTGAACTGTCTCCGACGAAGT